TTTCCCTCCGCTAACCCATGCCCTGCCCTTCCCCATGCTGCAGAAGCACCTCAGGAGGGCCGTGTCGTGGCCTGCTCTGCAGCGCGCGAGCGTCTGTCCTCCGGGGGAATGACGCCGAGCCCTTTACGCAGTGCATTCATTCAGCCGCTCCTGTCCCCTTTGGAAGCAGACTCGTGTTCTGCCCTTGGCCAGATGAGGAAATGGGGGCCCAGAGAGGCATGGTGACATGTCGGAAACCTCACAGCTCCGGAGTGGCTGGACGCGGTGCACTGTGGCTCGGTGTGGCCTGTCACGCGTCAGCACGTGCTCCCGTGGGACTCCCAGCAAGCCAGCCTGTCAGTCACTCAGCCCACGGGAGCCAGAGCCCTGAAGGAGACTTGCTCTGAGTATCCTGTCCAAGTTCGTGCAGCTACTCCTCCAGGCTCCGGGTCCTGGAAGCTGAGTCACCGAGCAGAAAAAGGCTGGGCTTGTAGGCAGGCAGCGCCTGGGCCGGTGTCCTCCTCTGGTAGAGCATGCCGTGTTCAAGGACCCATCAAGGAGCAGCCAGGCTCCAGCCACGCCTGCCAAGCACCAAGTGTCAGGGGGTGGTCGGGTCCCCGTGCACCGTGGGCCAGAGCTAGCCCTGCCCACCTGCCTCGGGGAGCAAGGTAGCATCCATTGTTTTAAGGGTTTGTGTATTTCATTCATGATAGCACATGGGGGGATGCACGCTCCTCTTGTGCTGCAACCCCCTTTCCCCAGCCCTCCAGCTCGTGGGGATCGTGGGCAGGTGCACACGCACCCGGTGTGGTTCAGCCTGGCCAGGCCTGGGATCCAGGGCCACCACGTGGCTTCCAGCACTCCATTTCAGTCGCTCCTGACTACTCAGAGGCCAGGCCAGGGATCCATGTTCTCTACCGCGATGTGCGTTCAGAGCCCTGGAAGTGCCAAGCCCTGCTCTAGGCCCTGAGGACACACCGCAGAGAGCGGGCACAACCCTGCCTCCTGAGTTCGGGCCCCCGGCGGGGAGGCAGACATTCAGAAAGCACTAGGGCCACATGACGTCAGGCAGAGAGCCGGCACGGGAGCGGTGGGGGAGCAGGGTAGCCTCCCCGATGAGGTGACACATGTGCCACTGCATTCTTGGGGGCCGTGAAGATGCACCACGGGGGCCTGGAGTGGGGCTCCTTAGCACGTGCCCGCACCCGGTAAGTGCGTGCTCCGTAAACGGAGGCCACCAGGGTGGAGGTCGCTCACGTTACTTGTTTCCTGATCCTAGTGCCGTCAGTTTCTAAGCAGATGCCACGTCAGCTGGAAACCCCCAGTCGGAACTGCAGAGACGGGCGGGCGATAGCCGCAGGGCCCTGGGGAGTCACCAGCTCAGGGGCCACTGCTAATCCCCATTTCCATCTAAAGCAGACCTGGCGGCCTCCATGGGGAGGAAGCCCAGCCAGGACCCTGTGGGCACTTGCCTCCCGGCCCGAGGGCTTCCAGGGACTCTGTGTCCCTGGCCAGTGGCTGGGGGGGGCCGCCGGGGCCCCGCCCCACCCCGCGCCCCACCAAC